GATAATTTATGCCTTTTTTCTCAAAAAATGAGCTATGTTTTGCTGTTTCCCTTTCGAAGAAATTTATAGCGATAAAACTGACTGTAGAGGGATTTGGAAAATGAGTAAAAACCATTACATGTTAGAAATGCCGAAGAATTTTGAAATCAGCTCGATTTTTTTACCACTCCATTTGGAAAGTTTTTTTTAAAGCATAACTTCCTAAAAAATTAGGGAATTCCAGCGCTGCTTGAATTATGAATATGAAAGTAAAGAGGATAAATAAGATAAGATTTTCTGGGATTCTTTGCTGAAGTGGTTTTTGCATAGTTTTGAATATTTTAATTAATCGCGCCTATAATCACCCTTGATTGACAAGCGCAGCGTTTCGCCAACGCTACCGTCCAACAAATTTCTGGATAATTTTCAAGTTAATAAGCAATGATTACCAAAAACAAGAAGAAAAAACAAAAAACAAGCTCACAATAAAAGCAAAAAAAGCTAACGGCAATATGGTGGCATTATACATTGGACCGATACCACCAACCCACTGGTCAGTTCGCAAGCAGGATTCGCTCTCATACGTACTATCACACTCCTGCAACTCATCCGCGTAATTCTTAAGAAGCTTTTCTTTAACACCAAAGCTGCAAATGAAAGTAGTTTGATTCCGTATGCTTCAGCTTCACTCAGTATTTACCTTTTCAGTCAAATTTATTCGATGGAAAGCAAAACGCCTACTGCTGATTCATTGAGCTTGGAATGACCAGGATAGCAAATGGGATTAAAAATGTTATCCGAGCTCTTACAGCAACTTGTTCTTTGTATAGCTGTCGGTCCTGGCGATTCATTTTGCGTGGCTTTTCTGTGATTTTTCGTTGAAAGCCATCCGCTACTTTCAAAACTCGGTAAAATTGTGAATTTCGTGAGATCGGCTCACCATCCGCCGTCCATCCAAAGCACGTCGGTCGAGCGCACCCCAGTATCGGTTGTCCATTTGGTTGCGCCTAAATTAGACACACAACTATTTACCACTTAAGTAATCTTAGGATTCTATTCTTCAAAAAAGTAAGCAGCAAAATGCGTGGATAAGAAAAATGTATTAGCAAAAAACACTCCCTCTCAAAAAGAGCAGTTTGAATTTTATTCTTTAAAAATAAGGAATAAAATCACCTTCTTTTCAATTATTTTCATTGTGAACTAAACAGCAGTGCCAAGCAAGAAGTCATCTTCATTGCGCTTTAGCAGTCACTCATTTTTGTGCGCGTAAAACGAGCTGCATTTTATCCAATTAGCTTCAGGACTTCCAAATTTGAACAGTTGTGCTCTTGCTGGCATTACGTCATAACTGTTTGTGCAAGCCCATCACGAAATGACGTGGCGTGCCTAAGGAAAGAATTTAAAAATTTTCTGTGCGCTGCTTGTCTCGAAATCTCCGCGAGGAACCGATTGCAAAGAAGGTTGCCTTGCCGCATAAACAATGTGTGTTACGCACACAAAGTATAAGTTTTGGAGCACGATGAACAATATCGCAATGGTTGTGTCGTTACTTGAAATAGCGAAGAAGACAATTTTGGTTTTCTCACAACTCAACCACATCCTTTTAGAGGGCATCGACTTAACGCAGCTGATATGTGTGCAGCTAGTAAATTCTGCGGTTTAGAAAATTTGTTGTTTGGATTTTTTAAAAGTAAGCATACTTATAATTTTAGACCCGACGTGGAACAAGATTTTGACAAAGTGCGACTGATAAATGACCTCAAAGCTGAACGGAATGGACGACTGGCCACAAAATGACGCATATGCTACGTTGGAATGTAGAACAACCAGTAGTAGCAAAGACGACACAAGTTTCATGCAAATTTTCTCGTCCTCCTCTTTCGTCTGTCTGAAAATTGCAGAAGCATTTGAGGTTTTTACGTACTCGTAAGAATTAAACGCCATAATCAACGCAGTGCAATGAAAATTCGAGGGAAAAAAGAAAGCTAAAACGGATAAGTTGGAACGTCTGAATGGTAACATGCGCCAGTTGCAACCAGCTGCTAGCGAGGTTGCCAATGATCACTTTTTCGAAAGATGTTTAGAAGTCAATTTTATTACATGCGCGAGTGCTTGCTTTTCTGTCAAAACGGATAAACAAGTTGTGGGGAAACTTATAGTCTCATTGGGGTAATAGAACCTTTTTCTCAGTATACTACTGGGTTGACCTGTGTGAGTCAAGCAAGAGTCCAGTCAGGTACAAAAATCGGGTCCACTTTTATTTGGGATTCGTTTGGTTCTGAACAAACGTCTAGGAACTGTCGCCCGGACAGGAGAGATCTGAGTTTTTACGGAGCTTATGGTTTATATAAGACCGGTTAAAAATTCTCGTTGTGCTTCGAGTGCGAAATCCAAGAAGTACATTTACCTTCAGCATGAGAGCAACTTTACTGACCATCGCGCCATGTTTAACTTTTTAGGCCCGGTATGCCTTCCCTTCCATTTCATATAAAATTATGCAGTAAAATTATGCAGTTCAGTAGCGGGATATTATGTGAAACTCATTCCCTTTCTAGGACCTAAAAAGCAGAAAAGTCGTTCTGGTAATTCCGAAAGACTTATATTCTACAAAACAGAAAGTGAACACTGGTAAAATTACGCCTGTCGGGAAATGCATTTTTCAAAATATGAGCGAGAGGAAACGCAATGTCCTGACAGTAGTGAGTTGCATGGGGCGTTATCGAGTGTAAATGGGCCAAGCGTATGATTGTCTCGTCTTCCATCACAGCTGATCACTGCGGCTACAAAGAAACATAATCTTCAACACCCTTGTCGGACGGGCAGTGCGTTAATTGGGTTATTACTACACCACTAACACATGGTTTTGGTGTACATCCTCAGTGACTGTTAACTATACGAAAAAAAAATTTTCCATGGCTCGCTCTCTACGAACAGCAGAAGCTCTCGCACGCAGGCAAATAACAACACCAGCCACAGCTAACATCCACTGGCAGGGCTATGACTTATTAAAAAGCTCACGGCCCTTATGTGAAAACCACGCATATCGAGGGCTGAATTTGAAATCTTTAAGTTGTACTTAAAAAAGACCATTCCCATACAAATTCAGCTTTCCGGTGTTTTCAATTCCCAAGTTAAGCGATTTTTTCGCCAAAACTCTCACGTGCCTGTACTTTAAAATCGGGCACGCTTATGGGCTGATTTTGAAATCTTCAGCTTATGCATGCACGGAGAATATTCCAGCAAAATTTCAGCAGTCTGTCTTACCCGATTTCCGAGATCTTCTCCCGCCAAAAAATTGGCGTACTTCTGAGGTGTCGTACGTTGGACACAGGCGTAGCGAATGACGGCATTAAAACGGAAGGGTCGCACAGAGAATGGATAAATACTCCCGAAGTTTCGGTTCTTTAGCTTTTGTAGTTTTCGAGTTAAAAGCGGCTGACAGAAAGTGCTAACAAGAAATACACGCACAGACAGCTTCTTGGCATCACGAGATTTGCTTACTGTAGCAGCAGCAAAAACACATACATAAAAAAGAATCATCGGGCGTGTCTTGCTTAGATGAACTAGTGGAAAAATAATTGTTCAGTTTCTTCGCGGCTCCTTCACTCTCACAATTCATGTTGCGTCTAAAAACGTGAGGGTTTGTTGTAACTTATTGCAGCAACTGCTCATAATCATAATTATTTGTTGAAAGCAACGCTGCCTCATGAGTTCACAGCTTTAGTTGCTCATTAATGACTTGATGACTCTTTTTCTGCCGAATCGGGAAACTCAAATGTATCCTTCGTGGTTATGCAACAATAAATAGTATTGCTGCGTTTTATAGAAATTCATATAAGGAAGAGGGTTAGAAAGGGGATTGGTAGACGAAGTGATCCATACCGATTTCATGGATTTCCAAAAGGCGAGTTTGGAGCTGACCTGAATTGTGTTGTTTGTTACCACTGCATGACCCATCCCAAACAGTTCTGTTCGTTACGTATTTATTTCCTCGCAATGGATAGCCACAAAAGTAATTTTCATGGGTTTGGGCCGCAATTTCTCAAAAGATCGTTTCAGATTTCAGTATTTTCTTTACCTTCCTTGAAAACACGCGTTCAAAGATATACCTCTTCCAATAATTACTGGAGCATCTTTGGAGCTTTTTTCATCTGTAAATAACCTGATGGCAATATCTTTAAGCAAGCACATCGACTCTGGCTCAGACAGTGCTTGGCACTAAAACAATTATTTTGATCATGTCAGGTTAACCACCTAGACTGTGGCTGACTTAAAACTTCATCCGGATCGGAATTCCATCTAGAATTCGTCTATTGCATCCACCTTCGTCCTATTATTTAAAGAGTGGTCGTTGTTTGTGGAAAAATGCATATCTGTCTTTTCCAGAATGCAGTGTCATGGCAAGGGAAATCAAGAGCTTAAAAAAATAGTAAAATTATCACAAAGACAACCACAATCGTGACGCCGATTTTGATGAAAATAGGAAGGAGTGATTTGTGTGGCACCACAGTTCTAATGCTTTTTAAGATTGGGCGTTTTTGTTCAAAATTATCAATAATGAGATGTGTTTGCGATTGGAATTCCTTCCATGCTGAGCATATTTTTCTGAAGTCTCTGTTTGAAACAAATGCACCTGGA